ACAGGACTTGGGAAAGCCATGTATATTCAGAGGTGTGGCTGGCTGTCATCTTTGACCTGGCATCACCATCTTCGCAAACCTGCTCTAAGGTTAGATACATCTGTCCTGACTTTACAATGATTGGACCAACCTGTACTTACAAAGCCTTCATCCCAATCGCCTTCACTCACTACACATGCCGTTCTTAGTCCCTGAAGAAACTCTGAGCATTTTCCTGCACTGAAAACCCACCCCCTACCATCAAGTCAACTCTGACTCATGGTGACCTGTAAAGCAGATCAGAACTGGGTTTCTGAGGCTAGAAATCACTCAGGAAGCAGACCGTCTCTGTTGCTCAGAGGGAGTCCAATCAGCACGTAGCCCACTCTGCCCTCGGGGCTCCTTCCTTCCTGTGCTACACTACAGTGCAGCTTAACAGGAACTGTAGGCGCCTATTCTCTAGAGAAGCGCAATGCTGAAACTATAATGATAAAAGTAAAAGAATTAGCCTGAGCCACAAACAGAAATTAAAAACAGAATTCTCCATAAGATTAACCAAAGATGAAGCATGTACTTTATCTGAGGCTTCTTAAAATGCCCCGTGGGCTTCAAAGACTGTAACTCTTTACAGGAGTAGAAAAACCTTGTCTTTCTCCTGAGGAACGGCTGGTGGTTTCAAACTGCTGACCTTGTGGTTCGCAGCTGAAAGTGTAACCACTACACCACCAGGGCTCCTTGTTAACAATACACACAATAGAAATTGGACAGAAATACTAGTAATAACAAAACAGTACAGCAAAATTGGGGAGGGGGTCAAATCTGAATAAATTAATAGTATTTCTACATTCAAGAAAGAAGTCCTAAACAGCGGAGTAGTTTAGGGTGTCCCCAGCTAGAACCTATTTGAGAGCAGATGGAAATCATCAAAAGCCTTTCCCCCAATAATGTATAAGTACTACAGATTGTTCTCTCTGACCCAATTCTTTTAGGTCTTGATACTCTCCTTTTGATTTTTTTAATTATTTTTTTTCTGAAATAATAGTTTTGTTATAATATCCCAGAGATATGTGCTAACTCTTAAAACTAAAGAAAAAAAATCCAAACCCATTACCTTCAGATCAAATGCTAACATGTAAGGTTTTTACAACAAACACAACTTTTCTCTTCTTTAAGACTTACTCGGTATGGGAAAGCTTTATTTCTTCCCTCTGTTTTGCAGAAAAATTGAGGTTACCACCTAAAACACAATAAACATGGAGTCTTTTCACACTCACAAATGCACACACAAACGCTTTAATCTCTTGTTTATTGTCAACTCAAAGGCTCAAAGTAGAACTGTATCAATGGAGCACATATCAAAAGTGCCATCGAGTCAATTCCGACTCACGGTGACCCTGTGGAGCAGCAAGGCAAAACTGCCCCTGTGGGTTTGCAAGACTGTCACCCTTTATGGGAGTAGAAAGCCTCATCTTTCTCCTGTGGATCGCTTAGTGGTTTCGAATTGCTGACCTTGTGGTTAGCAGCCCAAAGCATAACCACTTGGCCACCAGGGTTCCTATCATTGGAGCTACTAGGCTGAAGCCACTGATGGGTTCTGTGGTAGTTAGATAATTGATGTCAACTAGACACGTCAAACCTGTCAATCAAGTCATAGTCTAATGCTGTGTCCTTGGGGTGTGGCCTTCTCATAAAAAGGACCATGGGAACCTCCTTCTCTCTTTCTCTCCCTTCACCTTCCTGCTTGCTAGGTGGTTACTCTGAGAGTTGCTGGTGTTTTGCTATGTTTCCACCAACCTTGGATCCACACCCACTGGCCTGCACTCTTCCTGCGTTCTGCATCATTGTATGTGGTTGTGTGAGTCTGCAAAGGGACTTAGGGACTTGAGTTGGACTGGGCTGGGATACCTTCTTCATTTACTATTACATCTTGACACACAGCTCTTCCTTATACATAGATGAGCACCACGGGTTTGTTTCTCTCGTCAACCCAGCCAAGCACGGGTTCTAACCATCAACCTCTCAGCTGGCAGTCAACTACTTAACTACCAATGCACTTTCAGGGCTCCTTAAACAGGTGCATAGATAGATGTGCCTTATTTTAAGTAACATAAATGCTACAAAAGATGAAATAGAACTGATTTATCTACTGGAAATCATCCTAAAGGAAAAACACTACCCCTTACTTTTACCTACTTTATTTTTGAAGTTTGGACATATATTTTGCCCAGTTTTGTTAACTAGAGTACTGAATTGATAGTCAATAAAAATCAAATACCGTGAAATTATTTAGCCAACATGTGTCTTACATTCTACTAAGTGTGTGATGGACTTCCGTGGGGAGTAGTTGGTGCTCAACTCCTAGCTGAAAGGTTGGCAGTTCACACCCACCCAGAGGCACCTGGCAAGACAGGTCTGGCCACCTGCTTCTGAACGGTCACAGCTTTGCAAAGCCCAGGAGCAGCTGGACCGCACACGACTCAGAACTGGCTTGAAGGCAACTAACAACAAATACGCAGCATGCTTTTGGAGCAAGAAGGAAAAACTGAAAACACTACATCAAAATCGTATGCAGAACTAAGAGAAAAGCACTAATGCCTATAGTTCATATTAGTAAAAGCCAAAGATCTGTCATTTCTAACTGTAAATGAACAGTTTCAAACTTAAAGCTACTGCTATAAACCTACATTCTCATTTGTAAAAAATCAATAATGTAGGAGAGGCTTTTGATTCATTCAATTATAAAAAGAGTGCCATATTTCTTCAGATAATTATAAATATCATTAAAATATTGAATTACAAAATATAAATAAAATATTGAACTACAAAACTTGTATTGAACTGGCCAGAAGGCACATGAGAATAAGTTTAGAAGGCAGTCCACTATACATAATCATATGCTACAGACCTAAATGTGCTTCCATTTCTATAAATAAATGCCATCAGCTCATGAGCTACAGATCTGGTCACCAATGAAATATACAAACAGCCCCTAACATAATCCACTAGGGCGAGAGAAGAAAACCGCAGCGTTTACACTTACCCCGGGCACGATTCACCAAATAGAGCAAGACCACAGATAAAAGTGACACTAGGGAGGAAAGGCAAAAACAAAAAACACAGGGCCTTTTACAAACATACTTAGTTCTCCTCAAGGACTCCTATGTAATCATAATCACATATACAAGCTTTTACTAATTGGCATTGACAATAAAAACACTATTCACATTCTATTTTCAAAAAGCAGTAGAATCAAGTTGTAAGCCATAATATCCGCGGGTTATTTGGGACTGGGGGTAACAGTGTCAGAAACAGGCACCTGAGGTCCTACAGGACAGGGACCAGACCCCACCAGGGGCCACGCCTGCAAGGCTCCCACCTTTTGTAAAGGCTGCTGCTTCTCAGCACTGCCCCTGAGCAATCCCTGTGCTGTCTGCTGCTTACAGACAGGCAAGTAAAAGTAGCCCTGTCGAGCTTCAGGTTTAAAATGCCACGTCCACCTTTAAGATAAGTAACTGGCCATTAGAACATGGTCCTTCAACTCCCAGAGTCCAATGCCAGGACAGACCTCAAAAAGCCAGGTATTTGGCTTTTTCTTTTAATTTCCTTTCAACTGACATGGCACCAACAAGTTTCAAATGGCATGGTGTTTGACTGGAGACCCAAACATACACTGTAGTGAACTGTGAAACAGAAATAAACCACGTTGCAATATTTTTATATTAGACAACCCCCACAAAAATTTCCACGACCTAATGTTTAGAATTACATAATTTGCTTTTTAAAAACAAACTGCGTCTTCAAAATATGATAGGCTTGTTTTAAAAATTATGATTTCAAGATTAGTAAGTAATCCCTACAGATGAAAATTAACTTTGATAAAACATCACTGTGGTATATAGTATATTAAAACACATGCTACTGATTTGTAATCCACAGCTTGATAAAGGAGCACTTTTTCAAATGAACTATGGTGAAAGCTCTTTTTGGAATTTTTAAAAACTTTTTAATGCTGTTTCAACAGTTTCCTAGTGCTTCTTATTTTTAACCATGGACCATAACAAGTAAATATTAAATAAAAGAATTAAAACTAAAAGAAATGTTAAGATGCTTAATTGTGGTAGTTACATAATCTGGTGTCAATTTGAGATGATTACGAGTGAAGGGGTGGAGTTTAGTCTGTCAACTGGTTCATAGCCAATGATGCCTCTGTGTGGGCTTGGCCTTCTGAGAATTCTAGGAATCCTGTATTCCTTCTTAAAGGCAGGAGATACTATCTCGGTCTCTCAGCTCACTCCCTGGGAGACATTGCACTGACAAGACACATGGAACTACACTAGTGCCCTGAGCTGGAGAAGTCACATGGGCGTGCCTTGATGCAACCAGACCCCTGGAGCCAGAGAAGCCATGCAGCTGAGATGCTTACAATGCACTGTATCCAAAGACTTTCTACCCACTGGCCTGTGATCGTCCTGCATTCGGCGTCATTGCATGTGTTTCATGAGTCTGAAGAGGACTTTATAGATGGGTATCGGACATATGGGCAAACATCAGATTTATGGGCTTGGACTAGACTGGGTTGGGATGCTTTCTTAATGTACAATTACCCTTCATATAAAACTCTCATATACAGATGAGTGTGTCTGTGAATTTGTTTCTCTAGTCTACCAGGACTAACACAGGCATTGAGCTAATAAGCAACGGTAGTCTGCCTACTGACAGTTCAGTACCTGTGATATAGCTGTCTTCTGCTTCTTCTCAAGACGTGAGCACTCACACATAAATTACACCGATGCCTACACATTCCCATTAAGGGCAAACTCAGAACTCCTGAAAGAGCTCGACTTTAAAGGGAAAGGGGCTTTAAAAATATTTAAAACGGACTCGGAAGCAAATTCCCTTGTTAGCTATCTCCTGAAAATTGTCTCTGAATCTTCAGAGAACTGGAAAGTCTCTAGCTGTATAACCAACCCATAGATAAGAATCAGGCAACTTTGAGAGCTATGTCTTAAGATTTGGTTTAAGAAGGTGGAAAACAGAACAATATCATCAAGAACCTAGAAAAGCAGATGAGAACATATTCACTGCATATTAAGTGAAAATAAACGCTGCCCCATGGCATACTTACTGGAAACACAGGCAATGAAGAAAACTTCTAAAAATAAATATCCCCGAGTATCCAATATTATGCCCGCAATAATGGAAATGATCGCCAACCCTAAATTCTGGATGGACTGCATGCTGCAAGTGAAGAAATACAAAAAAGAACAAGTTTTACTCTCAAAAGCCTTCGCACACAGGCTTGACTACAAGTATTCGTATCTGGAAACCACATACCACAAATGCCTTTCTGATGTATTACCACTAGTAACTAGCACTGTAACCTCACTGTCTAGGTAATGTTTATATAGCCAGTTTAGAAGGACCACAGCTCTCTTATGTGAGCTCTGCAGAGGCAGGGCCATGTCTTATCTCTGTGCTTCCAGAAATTAGGCCAGTTCCTGACACAAAAAAGTGTTCAACTAATGCACGCCGCTTTAAGAAGAAAATTCGTAAATTCGGTGAAAGAAATCTTCGCAAATCATGCAATGTAGCACAATCAGTTCCCAGGACTGACATTCCCCTCAGCCTCAAATGTTGCCATACAAATGACAAAGTTACACATATAGGAATGTGTGTATACATTAAGTATATATAAATTTATGAAATCAAACCCAGATTTCAGGTAAATGATAAGAGATCCAAACTAATAAAGAATTGCTACAACTGACCTAATTGAACTGATTTTTTTTAAGGTAGACAGTAGGAATAATTAGAACAAAACTGAAAATCTGGAATTTTTTCAAAAGTTTTAGCTAACATAGACAAGCAAGCTGAACAGGTGTGGAAAGGCAAATGGGACAACATTCAAAACAAAGAGACTGGTTTGACTGAGGATTTTCCACGTGTGTATTTGCATATGCTACAGATGTCCATGAATATAGTACAGGATGCATGGGGCAGTTATGAAAACTTCTCGGCCATAACGAAACACCCTGAGGGAATGAGTGGCTGGGATTCGGGCACGGGATGCCAGTCCTAGGGAAGGTACGTCAAGGTCAATTGGCACAACACTGTCCCTAAGACCATGTTCTGTATCGGCAGGGATACAGTGGGGGAAGGGAGCAGAACAGATCAGCAATTGGAATAAAGCTGGTCCACAGAGCCCCGGAGGAGCCCCAAGAATGGACTTCAGGCTAGGAGGGGCAGCCCCCGGATCTCCCCCAGGACGAGGGGGAAGGGACTCATTGGGGCCAGCAAACAGACCTGGACCTATGCAGGGTTTTTTGCATTTTCTTCCTCTTTTTCTCTTTTCAACCGTATGTTTTCTTATTGTTCTGAATAGGACATTGCTGGTTTCCCTACTTACTGTATATACTCGAGTATAAGCCGAACCGAACATCAGCCGAGGCACCTAATTTTACCACCAAGGTATATGGGACGGACATGGGAGGGAAACTCTGGAAGAAGGCAGTGGAGCCAATGGCCCCAGAAGGTAGAGGGGAAAGGAGAAGGTGGGGAGAAGGGTGTGGTGGGTGGACGGCGTCATGGACAGGGGAACAACTAGGGAATTGGAACCAGCATCTAGGGGAGGGTAGAGATGCTGTGAGTATTACAGCAACACCAAGCTCGTGGAGAGGAAGCACTAAGAGGTGGAAGAAGGGGGAAAGTGATGTCGGGGCAGGAGGAGGCAAAAGGAAACAGAGGCAAGCTCTAGGAAGCAAAGGCATGGCTTGGGAGATCAACAGAGGTATGCACTTATGCAAATACATTAATCCATAACAATAGTGGTATTGGCCTATGTACATTTATAAGGCAATACATGAAGCTGCAGACAGGCCTTGAGCCTTAATGCATACCTCCCCTCAATACAAGAACATTTTTGTTCTAACAAATGGCATTCTGTGATGCTCACCCGCCCCCCCTATACAATCGCTGAACACAAAATGGGTGCATAAGCAGATGTGGTGAAGACAGAGGATGGTGCCTGGCTATTAAAAGATACAGTGTCTGGGGTCTTAAAGGCTTGAATTTAAACAAGCGGCCATCCAACAGTGAAGCAACAAGTCCACATGGAAGAAGCACACCAGCCAGTGCAATCATGAGGTATCATCGAGACTGGGCAACGGGCATCAGAAGATTCACAAAAACAGTAAACAAACAAACAAAAAAGCATTGGTGAGAATGGAGGGGGGTTGGAGCAGAGACCCAAAGCCCATCTTTGGCCAAAGGAACATCCACCCCACAGAGGGGTAACAGGGAGGGGGTGAGTCAATCAGGGTGCAGTAGAGCACCAATGGATCACGCAATATACCTCTGATCCCTTGAGACCTCTTCACCCCCCCTATCATGACCTCTAGACGGGAGTATGTACATAGGTATAGGCTAGAGATAAAACTCATGATACATGGAACCCAGGAACAGGTATGGGAATAGTGATACCAAAAGGGTAGGAGGAAGGGGGGAGATGTTAGGAGGAAGGGGGGTACCGATCGCAATGTCTGGCACATAACCACACACCCCCATCCAGGAGGAAGAACAACAGAAACCAGAGGGGAATGGAGACAGCAGTTGGTGTGAGATTTGAAACTAGTTACTAATGTATAATCTCTCAAGGGGCCACAAGGGTTGGGGGCAGAGGAGAGGGGGGTGGAAAGAACTGATCCCAAAGGCTCAATGGAAAGTAAATGTATGGAAAAGACTGTTGGAATATATGTACTAATATGTCAGATACAATTGATATGTGGATTGTAACAAGAGCTGTAAGTGCCCCAATAAAATGATCTAAAAAAAAAAGTTCTGTATCTTACTTTGATGAGTAGCAACAAAGGGGTTAAAAGCTTGTGAGAAGCTTTAAACTTGAGTGAATGGCCTACCATATTGCCTGCTGACACTGGGAACTCCAGTATCTGCCAACCCTGGGAGCTATCTGACCTGCAGAACCTTCTTTGCATTCACCAGCCATCGTTCCCTGCTTCTTCCTCTTATCTTACCTGCTGCTTCCTGGTTCATTAGCCCTGGCAACGGCATGAGTCGGAAAGGCTTCCCACTTAGCATCTGACTCAAGCTTGAGCTAGATTGGACTCCCACTCTGCAGCTGTGCAGGCCACTCTTCTAATATAAAGTTCTCTCTTAAACACACACACACACAAACCAAGCTTACGAGTGACTTCTCTGAAGGTGGCGGCAAAAGCGATAAAGAAAGCCCCCACCCTATGGATTGGGATAACAGTTGTATGAGCCCCTAATAAAATGTTAAAACAGAAAAAAAAACTGAGTGTTACATGCCACACGTCTTGTAAAACATTAAAGGAATTTTGAAGAAAAAAAAAAAAAAAAAGAAAGCCCCCACCCATCCCAAAACTGAAACCAAAGCAAAGGCACTGAAGACCAATAAGGCCATGAAGGCCATACTGAAAGGTGGCCACAGCGACAAAGAACAGAAGACGCACACATCACCCACCCCCCAGCAGCCGGAAACACTGAAGCTAAGCAGGCAGCCCAAATATCCTCCGAAGAGCACCCCCAGCAGAAACTATGACGTCTTCCAGTCCCCCGTGACCACTGAGTCAGTCATGAAGAAGACTTGTGTTCATCGTGGATGCCAAGGCCAACTGTGAAAACCTCTGACACTGGCGAAGCCGAGGCCTGATGGAGAGGAGCCATAAGTTCGACTGGCGCCTGACGATGATGCTTTAGATACTGCCAACGAAACCGGTAACAGTAGCAAAATGACAGTGATGAAGTAGCAACGAAAATAATTTTATGGTTGGGAGGTCACCACAACATGAGGAACTGTATTAAAGGGTCGTGGCATTAGAAAGTTTGAGAACTGCTGATCTAAACTGAGTTCAGCTGGCTAATTCTAAATATAAACTTTTTCAATAGGAAAAAAAAACTTGTCCGTGGTCATCTAAAGTGCAGCTATTGGTCTGTCCTCATCCAGGACAAAGAAGAAGGAAGAAATCAAAATGACACGTGACAAAAAATCAGTCCAAAGTACTACTGGACCTCAGTCTACATGACCCTAGGATCAGAAGAACTAGATGGTTACCATTGTCAATGCTCTGAAAACGGACCACAGTAGAAGATCCTGGGTAGAATGGGAGAGAATGTAGGGCAAAATCCAAGCCCTTCTTCCTAAAAGCCCAGACTCACCAGTCACATAGAGACCGTTTAAGTCCCAGGTCACTAGCCCTGAGTCACCCTTCGGGTCTAGAATGGAACTAACTCCTGCAGCTCGGCTTCCAGCCAAACAATAGACAGGTCTACAGAGGGAACAATAACACCAGAAGCAAGTACCCTTTAGAACAATCAAACACACAGAGCTAAAGTATTTGTCCAGAGTGAGCGCTCAAAAAGCAGAAAGGTCAAATGGAAATGGTGACCACAAAGAAGAAGTGGGGCGAGTGCTCTGACATCACGGAGATTGTCATCAATGTCACAAAACAAGTGTGTGGGAACCACTGAACGGAAAACCAAGGGGCTTGTACACTGTCACCCACATCATAACCAAGAGTTAAAAACTTAAAATGTTCATCGAACGAAACATGGCTTAAGTGGAATATGAGCCCAATACTATAACCCACAGGAAAATGTCTCAGCAGTGCTGGCGCCCTCCAAGTGTCAACTGTAACCAGAGACAGGAAGGGCCATGTCTGTGACGGTGACAGACAGCTGTCATAGTTAGAAGAGTTTATGACAAGTGAACGATCCTGGTTAGGGGTGAAGTCAAAATTGCCAATCAGGTCACAGACTGATGGTGCTTCCTTGAGGGTGGGGCCTTCTCATCAAGAAGAGCCTAAGAACCTCCTTCTCTCTCTCCCACTTCACCTTCCTGCTTGCTGCCAGAGCCCCAACAGGTTTCCACCAACCTTGGATCCACACAACCCTGAGCCCAGTGGCCTGTGATCTTCCAGCATTGGGCATTAATGCATGTGTCTGCATGAGTCTGAGGAGGGACTTCTGCACTAGTATCGGGCTTATGGCCTTGAACAGGACGGGACTGGGGCACTTCTTGATATACAATTACTTCTTGATATAGAGCTCTTTCTTATACATATATGAGTGTCATTGGATTTGGTTCTCTAGTCAACTCGGCCTGACAACAGCCTCTGAATTTTCTTTCTTAATTAGTTTTTAGAAGACTGGTGGTTTAAGAGATGTGTTTTAAACGGTATTTTCCAACTGACACTTCTGAGAAATAAGAAAATGTTTCAGTTATAAAAAAAACAACACGTCAACTGTAAGGGAACTTAGATATAGTGACAGGGCAGTCCGTTTCTAAAATTAGGCTAGTTGACAGAGTTAATGTCCTATAGGTAATTTCCTGTAACATAATGTCTTCATCTTTTGCCCATTAAAAATAAGGTGGTGGTGGGGGGGGGGATACCAGATGAAAGAATTTTCCTTTCATACAGATGGTCTAGGGTCCTGATCACCTTAGTTCTTGGGAAATAGATGCCTAATTCAGATAGAACAAAAAAGCCTGCTCTCTGCTGGGGAGGCTGGCCTCAAGCGGGTGAGGTCGGTTGACAGTGCTCCTCCCTCCCCACGCATTCAGAACAAACCACCCTTCTCATCACTGCTTTCCAGTCTGCACTCATGCCCCTTCCATTCCTACCAGCAGAACGAGGACAGATGCCTGCCTGGCCTCTCCATCCTCAATCCTTTCTGCAACAAACTAATCAAGTTATTCCTGATTGAGCACAATTCTTAACTCTCTCTCTGGCCTGCCTGCCCTCTCTGTGCAGCTCCCTCTGGCTCCCCAGCTGCCACAGGTTACTACACCAAGCCTATCCCCCCCCACTCAAGGGATTCTGTTCTTTCCACGCATGCTTGCCCACCTCCTCTTACTGCATCACCTCTCACCCCTCCGACCTTTCCAATTGTAGCTGGCCCGGCTGTGGTGTTTTCCTTGGCCCAGGCAGGCAGTCACATCCTCCTTGTTCTCTCCGACCTCACTAAAGACCTAGGCCATGACTGTGTCCTCTACTAGACTGTATGATCACATGTAGGGACCTTGCCTCAACACTCTCCTGCTGAATGACAGAAAGGACTACTGCAACACCAACCTTTTACCTGTGGGGGCCAGGAACCGATCTCAACTTCTCACGGAGAAGTTCTCAGAGGAACAGGCAATGGCACTGTGGTATCAGCAAATACCCCTTCCAATTGTGGTCTATGGATGCACCTGCTCTCTTGCTAGAGGCTTGCTGTTGTTGCTACAGCGTGGAGACTCGGAGCTCATTCCAAGTCCTAGTGGCCTATGAACAACAGAAGCTGTCCAGCCCTGATGGCCCTCAGAACCATCGTTTCTTCTGAGTCCTTCTTACAACCACTGTATCAGCTCATCTTGTGAACAGTCTTCTGAAGGTGTTCTTTTTATTCACTGACCCAGTGCTGACATTATGTTCCTTTCCGAGCACTAGTCTCTCAATAACACGTCCAAAGAATGTGAAGCGAGTCTCATCATCCTCAATTCTAAAGAGCATTCTGCATATACTTCTGCCGAGACAAATCTGTTTGTTCTTCTGGAAGTCAGGGGTCCTTTCAATATTCTTTACCAGTTCCGTAAATCAAAATCTTCAGACCACCTTATTCAATGTCCATGCATAAGAGGGGACTGAAAGTATCATGGCCGGGGTCAGTCACACATTAGTCCTCAAAGCAACACATTAGTCCCCTTGCCCTTTAGACTTTAAAGAGGTGCCAGGCAGGAGATTTACCCCCTGCAATATGGGGTTTGACCTCTTGACTGCTACCTCCATGGACATTGATGGTGGCTCCACACCAAGACAAAAATCTGTGACATGTCACTCTTCTGTCTATGTATCCTCATGGCATCTACTGGCCCGATTGTAAGGATTTTGATTTTCTTTACAGTGGGTTGCATTCCAGACGAAAGGCTGAAGTCCTTCAGCATGCTTAAAACCCTTTTATTGCCACAACAGTGTCTTTAATAGATTAAGTGACTTCTCCAGTCAGTTCCAGGTACAGAGCAGTCCCAGATCTGAAGATGGCTACCTTCTAGAGACCAGAAGTTTTAACTAACAATTCAATGGACCAGAAGAGAAATATCACATGATCCACTGTGCAAATACTTACAAGCCATACGCAGTCCCCAGCTGATGTTCAGGAACTACATACGCCACCATTGGCCACAATGCACAGGCAAGCAATGAATAGGAGACTCCCAGAAGACACTAGAGGGATGAAGAAAGAAGGAAGTACAAGAGTTAAAAAGTGTTGTGTTTGCCAAAAGGTGATCTTCATTTGCTACATATTTGAAAGAGTAGCGTGAAAGCTTAAATTCAAATATTTGTGCCAATTTGTTTACGATGAGTCTAAAAGTCATATTCAAAATAAACAACTACATCCTGGCCTTCTCTATAAGCTAGTTACAAGATGCATACACTGCCTTGACCATTTTCACTGGTCATTATATTACATGCATATTTAACTGGCTCGGGTTTGGGATGTAGTCAAGGACCAAGCAAGATAATAAATCTAATTTACAGAAAGTAATTACCCATGTTTCAGGAAAGCTAATCTTTATTAGGAACTTATTAGGAACTGCAAAATTAAGCAACCAAGATAATATGCCAACAACCCATGATCCTGCATCTAAATCATTAATAGAAATCAGAGAGCAAGACAGAGTCAATAATAGACATCATTGTTTGTCAAATGTCACCTAATGCTGTCTAATAAAAAATTTTTAAACCTTTATGATTTAAATTAAAATAGCATATCATACCTATCAAATTGGCAAGAATTAAAACATTGCCAATACGGGCCAGGACACTATGAAACAGATACAGGTGTACATAATTGATGAATCTAAAAGTACACAGTTACTAGAGGGGCACTTTCGTAGTATGTGAATGTGCACAGCCACTATTTTAGCAGCGCTCCTTCTAGGAATTCATCCTACAGAAATTCTACCAAAAGCTCAAATAGTTGAGTTCAAAGATAAGTCTCTATGTAACAGATAGAAAACACTGCACTTTAGCCCGGTGGTCTTGAACTTGACAATGTAAACAACACAATTCATTATGGACTTTTTTTGATCGACTAAGCACTGAAAACTAAGTGTGCAAAACTCATGAGTATTCGGTCTTTTTCTTCTTCTTTTTTGGTACTTATCATGTACTTGTTTCTTTTAAATTAAGAGTGAAAGGGGGCGGCAATAAACATTTTGACTTTTATAAGACAATTTTATTTATAATTTGATGTCAGCTTTGACATAAACCTACATAAGTCAAATGAAGTTAAAGATAGTCTATGAGTTCATCGCTGAAATGCCTATTTCTTAAGGAATTACTTTATAGAATTTAACATCAATTTGGCATCAGAAGCACTGCCGTCAGTTTGCTGAGTGTGCCTCCTGCCATGGCATCCTCGCTGAAGCCCGGACCCCTGCCCTGGACGGCAGTATGTACATTACCATGGCAATCCAGGGGTTCCACAGCGTAAAGGCCAGCATCATGTGGGAAACGAGAGTGACCGCCACTGCACACAGGACCCAGATGATGTTCCTTCCTGTTTTATCCACCAGCAAGCCAAACACTGGAGACAGGGAAGCAGATATGATATACACCACACTGCCGAGAGAGCAGAAGAGAGCCAATGAAATGTAGCGCAGACTGTTCAATATTCAGAAAGACTCTACAAACCAAATTTCAGCTCACTTAACAATTTTAGAAAATGATCTTCCTTTCCAATGATTAAAATAAATATAAAATATGAAGAGATCTCTTTTGCTTTCCTCCAATATAATAAAATAGTCACTCGGGACTCGAGTCCCAAAACCATCTTGATTTCAATCCTATCATACCCGTGTTGCCTCTTTAACCTTTGGTTATAACTAAAGACCCTACTATGCATGCAACAAACATATAAAATCATTGAAGTACCTGTTAATTGCACTTGCTGCCTGCGAAGAAAATTTGAATTTCTCCATAAAGAAAACTCTACAATTGAGAACAAAGAGCAAGAAATAAGTACTTGAGAGGGAACTACTTTGTTTTCATATTTTTAAAGGCAAAAACTTAACAAAACTAATTGCAGGTTCTTTGTTTTTTTAAAAAAAAAACACATTTTATTGGGTGCTCATACAGCTCTTATCACACATAAATACATCCATACATCCATACATCTTATTTTCAAAACGTTTTCTTTTTACTTGAGCCCTTAATATCAGCTCCTCCTTTTTTCCCCTCCCTTTCCCACCCTGCCTCCCTCATGAACCCTTAATAATTTATCAATTATTATTATTTTTCATGTCTTACACTGACTGATGTTAATTCCAGGTTTGAGCTTTTCTTGCTTACTATTAGTTTTCTATCTTGTTTGATACTTATTTTCAACAAACCATTAAAACTTGAGTGTTCATGTAAATACTTCTCTAAGTAAATAGGACAAACTGGTACCTATTCTTTTTTCTTTTTATTCCACAAATAATACACACAAATTTTCAGAACCGCAATGTGTTACTACAGAGAACTCTGACTTCTTTTCTTTCCGCCCAGGTCAGCATAGAACTCGAGACTCAAACTCACTGCCTTCAAGCCAACGCCGACTCAGAGCACCCCATACACAGGGCCAGAGGCCCTGTGCGTTCCGGAAAAGTAACTCTTCCCTCAAGTAGGAAGCCCCACCTTTCTCCGGAGGAGTGGCTGCTGGCTTCAAACTGCTTAGCGTGCAGTTAGCACAGGTTCTTTCTACATAATCAGTGGAGTTTTTGACACAAATTATTTACAAAATTACAGTTTTAAAGGTTGCTGCTGGAAGGTCACTCTCCCGCACACACCACGTAAGCAGCTGGCAGTGATCACGAATAAAGAACGAAAGGGCAAAGGGAAGAGGAAGCTTTGCAGCCTAAGTCCGAGTCCGGCAGATGCGCAGTGCGAGCAGCACCTGGCGCAGGTCCTCCACACCCAGCCACCGCGGCGCGGGTCCCCGCCGCATCGCGGGTCCCCACCGCAGGGCCTGAGGCTCTCTCTCAGCTGGACGAGGAAACAGCAACAAAAAGACAGGTCCAAAATAAACAAACCGATATCGTGACTCAACACCACGAGGCATTTCTTCAAAAGAACACTGGCAGCGCCACACCAGCACTCAACCTCAAGTGGGAAACGAGGTGCATTTCAGGATGGAAAACAATCCGCGTACAGAGAGACTGTGGACAGAAATGCACGATGTACTGCTAAAAATGCAGTGCACGTACTACTGCATTTATGTGATCGAGCTCGCCTTTTAACTTAGTCAACGAAGATGGAGGCAAGAGAATACTCACTTCCCGAGCCCAATAAAAGGAAACACCGCCACATAATAGCAGACACAGACGAGGAAGATGAGCCACAGGGGAAAGGAGAAGTCCTTCACGTCCGTTAGCTTAATAACTTCACCTGCGGAGAAAGGCCAGAGACTCAGCATGATTTCGCAAACATCATGGTACAAACTAAAGGAGCTTTTATCTAGTTGTGCATAGTTTCATCATGGGATTAGCTTTTGTGATTTAGTTTGTAAAGTGAATTTCTCTGTGATGAAAGTCATTAAAACATAGTAATGAGACAACTGAAAAATAAACTAGCTCCCGCACTTCAACAACACAAACACTAATAGGGTAATTAAGAAATGGCAGAGGCTTTCAACAGACACCCCTTCAAAGAATTATGTACATAAAGAGATGTTCAGTGTCATTGGTCATTAGGGAAACACAAGCAAACCCACAAAGAATGGTGCTGCCTATATTTTTAGCACAGTAAAAATAAATAGGCAAATAAAAATTTTAAACAAAAGGACAAGAATCTCACAATGAGATGCCACTTCACAGCCACTAGGATGGCCCCATCAGGAAATAACCCGTGCTTGTGAGGGCTGGAGGCACTGGGGCCCTTGTGCATTGCCAGTGGGGATGAAAATGGTTCCTCAGGAAATGAAACAAAAGTATAATATGCAATTTCACTCCTCAATCTCCCAAACGAACTGAAAGTGGGAACTCAAATAGCTACCTGTACAGCAATGTTCACGACAGCATTATTATTAACAAGAGTCACAATGTGGGAACTATTCGTGTCCATCAACAGATGAATGAGTACACACAACATGATATAGCCACCCGGTGGAATTTTATCCACCCAGAAAGAGAAATGAAGCCACGACATAGGTGAACCTTGAAAACGTCATGCTGAGTGGAAGAAGTCAGGCACAAACAGGCAAATATTCTAAAATTCTCCTGAGATAAAATATCTAGAATTGGAATGAGTGTCCCACAATGTCTACATTCAAACACGGGTAAAATGGCAAATGTTTTATTATATATGTATATATATTCACCACAGAGAAAAAATTATAATAGCAATGTACTGGCAAAAGTAGAATCCAAGATTTCTATCTACTCCTCCCTGGAAAAGTAATCACTTGACAAATATACAACTCTGAATGATACAATACTGCCACCTGCCTTTAAGGGGGGAAAACTACACTCCAAAACTTAGACAACTAGAAATAGAGTTTGCAGATAAAAGTTGTTTCAAAGGTAAAATGCCCCCACTAGGGAAGTGCATTAGAGACTCGCCTCATTGTAAATCACCTCAAAGAGGCTCTAATTCCCCAGTGCACCTTATTTGGTTTTTGCCTTTGTTAATTGTTGTGGAAGTTTCAACCTACCTGTTTTTCCTTGTTCTTTATGAAGGATCCTTTCCGCTCTCCGATCCAAGTAAGCAAGGGCGAAGGCACACAAGAGTGAAAGAATGCACGTTATCCCTCCTATCATTTAAGAGAAAGACATTTGAGAGAGTCAGACTGGATGGCAGGAAAACAGCGGGGAAAGGGGTACATCTAAAGAGAACTGCCCACCACCCACTGCGGCCACAGGGCCTTCCCACCTCAGAACCAAGGTCAGCACACCAAGGGTAGGCATCATTGCTATCAGGAGAGTTCTGCTGGGTGGTTAAGCACTTAGCTGCTAACCAGCAGGTCAGCAGTTTGAACCCACTAGCCGCTCCTGGGGAGAAAGACAAGCATCCTGCTGCCACCCAGATTACAGCCTTGGAGAGCCACGGGGCAGAGCTCTACTCTGTCTACATGGGAGTTGGGATTAGCATCACCTGGACCAAGTGCGCAGTGTTTTCTTTGGTTATTACCAGAGGAAGATTGAAGACGAAAGGGGAACGGCTGGGACAAACGTGTCTAGTCCTGTACCAATGCAGACTGTAAAAGCTGCCCACGGTCTGAGAACTCCTTTTGGTCAATAGCATTTTAAGCACCAATTATCAATGGATGCCTGGGGGAAAGATTTAAAAAGCAACCTGCCTTTTCTGCTTCATCCGCCTTCTGCTTTAATCCAAAGTCTGTCACCTCTGTCCTCACCCACAGGACCCCATCCTGCAGGCCACAGCTCCCTGGGGCTCTTTCCTTTGAGTAGTCAGCATTACTCACTAAGTAATTACTCAGATCACTCCAGGAAATCACAATCCAGAGTGAATGCATTTACCCTTCTCAAGAATGTTTAAAGGAAGGCTATAAATAGATCTCTAAAAGGTTGATTGGTCTAATAGGGTTCAGTTGAAAATAATCACTGACATGAGAGTCAGTAGCCCTGGATTCCGGCGTTGGAACTAATCAGCTGAACGATCTTGGAAAAAGAACTTAACCTTTTGGAACTTCAACTTCCCCATCTGTTAAGATAAGAGACTCATTTCCTGATGATCCAGGGTTTTATTTCTACCTCTAAAATTCTAAAGTTCTCCATTACGTGAGGAATTGAATAGAATTAGCAGCATTCGAGGGTTACGAAGATCGTAAGCGAGGTAAGGGATTCAAGAGGAGGAAGTCAAAAGGAGTCATCTTTGGGGACAAGGTTGTCTTTTTAGGATTACTTCTCCGCTGTCTTCTTCCTGCGTGGCTGCATCAGGAAGTTGTAAGGAGTCAATCTTGGCTGGAGCTTTGCCTGCCATCACCATCCATCTTTCTAGGGCACTGCTGACCCACAGGGGGCTGCTAGACAAGTTGACAGCTCAGAGAAAAAGCCCAGGTGGTGAGTGCAGAGAGCCTCACATTTCTCAGTGACCCCTCCAGCAACTAGTGCAATAGAGCTTTAGCGAAGAGAACTTAGGAACTGGAGGTACCTATGCAGTCTTTAGTCAACTTACCCTTGATTTTACGTGAGAAACCTGCACCTCATTCACTTCTTTGGCCAGGATCACAGAACCAGTGGCAACCAGCACTAGAGCCCAGGCTCCCGATTCCCAACAGTAGATATTCATTCATAACCTATCCATGGTGACCTTCATAAAACCTAGCCCTATATATCTACTGATTAAAATTGCTCCAAAGGAAACAATTCTCACTTCTGCTAATGTGCATTTATAAACTCCCAAATGGTTTTCAAAGAATATTCTCATACACCATTTCATTAGCTCCCTCACACCAATGCTGAACAGGCTGAATGCACCAAATCAAACTCACTGCCGGCGAGTTGATGTCAGCACATAGCAACTCTATAGGACAGGGTAGAACTGGCCCTGTGAGTTTCTGAGACTGTGACTGCTTACAGGAGTAGGAAGCCCATCTTGCTCCCACAGAGCCACTGGTAATTTTGAACTGCTAACCTTGCAGATAGCAGCCCAACTCATAACCACTATACCACGGGCAGAATAAACTCCATCCTTTTAAGAGAGTGGAAATTAAACTATGGAGCAGGTGGTTGATTTACTATTTCTAGTTAAGGCGCTGGCCTGCTAACCGAAAGGTCACCCCTTGGAACCCCCAGGCCCTCCGAGGAAGAAGGATGAAGTGTTTAACTCCTTTAGGGGTCTGATATCGATGGCAGTGTTCTCTCCACTCGGCTACAACGCTCCTGGTGACATGCTTGCAAAGGGAGGCGACGTGGGCTGCCAAGACATACTTACCAATCAGGAGGGTGACGCCAAGGACTGTGTAGCCCGCAGAGCCCAGTGAGGCTTCCATCGTGGCATACAGCCATCCCATGAGGTTTATGTTGACTGTGCTTCCCTACAAGACAAGGAGAGAGGCAACCGCATTGTGTTAGACAGGGTTCTCTAGAGAGATAAAACCAAATTGCTGATAATTTAATATATTTATTTATAAAGATAATTAGATATATAACAAGAAATGAACTGTTAAATCATATACAGCTAAATATATAATACAAGAAACAATTATAAAGCACTACAAATGGCTCAATTCAACTCACTGCAGTGAGAGAGTTGTGAGAGACTAGCAGTCCTTCCAGTCCAATCTGCTGCCAGATCTTCCTCTATTTATAGAGAGAGCTAGGCTAGGTCAGCACAGCAGCCAATCAGAAGGCAGGTCACCAACTGCCAGTCCCCAGCTCCAGCGATGTCTTAAAGGGACCTCAACTTACAGCGACACAGTCCATAGGCTAGGCATCCCACAGGTAGTGTAGCCTTTAAATTGAGGCACAGGACAAGCAAGGCAGCCGCACACTGGTCCGATGATCAAAGAGCGAGAGACAAGAAAGGCGAGACTCACCAAGGCATTTATCTCTCTGCCCTTCAGTTAATCCCACTTGTGTTTATCGGCCAGGCTGGCACAATAAACTATCTCACGCATGCTTCCTTATTTACACCTCTGCTTCGTTCAGAAAAAAAAGGAGCTAAGGTCAGAGAAAAATATGTATAATAGAGTCTGCTTTCAAAAATAGATTTTAAAAAGCTTTTCAGCATAATACAAGAAAAAACTGGCAAACCTAGATAAAACAACAAATAAGGTCACTATACAAAAATTCCGATTTACAAAAAACACCCCACTAGAAAGTTCACTACTGTGGAGTCTATTCCAACTCATTCAGAGCCTGTCAGACTGGGCAGAACTGCCCCTGCAAGACTGGACGTCTCTAGGAAGTAGAGAGCCTAGTCTTTCTCCAGCAAAGCAGCTGATGGTTTCCAACTGCTCCCCTGGCAGCTGGGAGCCCAATGAGTAACCACTGGGCCTTAAGTCTCCTGCACAGAAACACTAGCACACAAAATAGCATGGGACTGGAACCTCCCAGAGCCACGGCAAAAATGAAATACAAGTTACAAAATTCACAGGGTACCCAAGACAAAAACATGATATTGCTCAGAATTCCCTAGTGGTGAGACCTGAAAAAAACTCTCTCTTCCTCTTTCTAAAGAGTCTCATATGAACTGTAGCTGACAGCTCCAATGAGACAACTGTCTCATCCGGCAACCATGGAGCCTGGCCACGGCTGCAGGTACTGGGGAGATAATACACAGCGGACGATGTCCAGCTCTTGTGGCCTGTCCACTGTACTAGCATATGAAGTAATGAGGTGTCTTAACAAGTAAGAAATGAAAAAAATAATAATTTATCATTTTACAAGGGTTTGAGGGAGTGGCGAGAGGAGCTGATACCAAGGACTCAAGTAGAAAGAAAATGTTTTGAAAATGAGAATGGCAACATATGTATAAATGTGCTTGATACAATTGATGCATGGATCGTTATAAGAGCTGTAAGAGCTCCCAATCAAACGATTTATAAAAAAAAGTAAGACATGAATCCGGGAACGAGAACAAGGTGCTCTCATATCGCACACAGATGAAGAGCTTGGCTGGGGGGATGGAGAAACGCGCCTCAACAATGCTAAGAAACCCAAACAAATCTAGCTCCACCGTTCCCTTTCTAGCAACATCATACATGCAGGCAAGCTTCACCCGCAAAGTATCTTTCTGCCGTGCGACTCACAAAAGTGAGATTAAACACACACACAAACCAAGTGTAAAAGAACACAGTGTTGCCCTGGAAAAACCAAGCTTTCAACAAACAATGAATAGTTTCAAAGTTTCTCACATTCTGTAGAGAGGAGGAAAATAAATATAAAAACAATTACACTAGGGACTTCACTAGGTGTTCCTCCAAAGAAGATACATAGGTGGCTGACAGGCCTCCGAGAAGGGGCTCAACCTCATTAGGTCGGGAAACGTGAACAGGGCAACAATGAGACGCCACTGTACACCCACTCGGATGAGTATTGTCAGAAAAATGGGAAGCGAGTGCTGCAAGAATATGGAGAAACTGAGCCGCTCATACATTGCTGATTGGAAAATAGGAGCGACCACAGGGAAAAACAGGGTGGCGGCTTCTCGAAAAAAGTAAGCCTAGGAAGACCACACGGCCCAGCAATTCCACTTCTAGGTATGTAGCCCCAGACAGGGACTTAGCCAACGTTCCATTGCAGCATCATTCACAACAGCTGAAGCAGAGGGGGAAAGCCCAAGTGCCCCTCAACAGAGAAGTGCATGACCAAAGTGGGTGCATATGTACAATGGACTATCACTCAGCCATGGGGAAAGAAGATTCTGAGACACGCCGCAACGCCTTGAAGACAGTGAATGCATCCAGTGAAATAAGTCTGACACAAAAGAACAAACATTTGATGACCCCACATATATGAAAGATCTAGAACAGCCAAGTGCTCAGAGACAAAAACGTATGAGTGGTGACCAGGGGCTGGAGACAGAAGAATGGAGAGTTCTTGTGGAAGGGGTGAGGAAAAACATTCGGCACACTGGTGATGGTTGGGCCGTATGGGGAATGTCATTAATGTCACTCAATTTCCTCTGAACAGTTGTTACAGGCCTAGGGTTTGCTATATAAATTTACGCCGGCAAAAATGTTGTACCAATTATAGTTGTAAGCATTTCTGTGCCCTTCATTAGGTTTGAAAGACTTCTTGATAAGAATGTGTTAACTGGGGAAATGGTGCATTAAGCTTTAAAATCTGAGGGTTGGGTGGTGGGTACCTATGTCTTCATCCTTGTATTCATTTTCTATTGCGGCTGGTTTAAAAAAACTTGGCTTAAAAAAAACACAAGTTCAGTGTCATTGTCAGAAGCCTGCCCAGTCTCGCTGAGCCTGATGTCAAAGTGTCAGCAAAGCCTTAGGGAAGAGTCTGTATCCTCGTCTCCTCCAGCTTCTAAAGGCCGCCTGAATCCCATCCCTTGGCACACCTTCCTCCATCGTCAATGTCAAGAATGTCTATAATCTAGCATTTAAAAAAAACACCTGACTTTTTAATGGAAAGGATTAAAGGAAGAAAATAAGCAAAACTCTACTCATGGGAATTGATACAGGGATACTTGGGGCTGCCAGACACCTTAGAGGATACACTTCATAAAAGCACCCCGAGCAGAGCAAGCCTGGAACACCACGACCACTTCTCGGTTCCAAATGCCAGGAGGAGCCCTGCTAACGACGTGAGCCCAGAAGGAGCTGGAAACTGTCCCATGGCTAAAAACCGCTACAGGAAATGAGCTCGTCCGACCAAACGCGTAAGGCGCTATCTTCAGCTAAGTGCCATCCCAAGAAGAGCAGGCAAGCTGAGAGCAAACACGAAAAGCTGTATCAAGGGAGACTTCAGCTCAGGACAAGCTTAAGCTACGGACAAAGTGAGAGCAAAACAAAAAGCGGAAGGGCTGCCCCATCCGAGTGAGCTCCGCCCCGTCACAAATGTGCCAGCAGAGACTGGATGATCACGTGTGAAAACGTGGGCAGCAGGGAGGCCAAACATGGTGTGAACTTGGGCTAGAGAACCTCCAGGATCCTGTCCAAAGCGCAGCTTCTTTGAACTAACAAACAATGGGTTTCTCATTTCAGACTCTTTCCTAACTGAACGAAGGTTGGAAATGCCTTGAAGTAAGGTAAATGCTGCACTACATTCTAGAGAAATAATTTTTTTAATGAACCTAATTTCTAAAAATGCTTCATTTGTCCATCACACGCCCCACACACATACACACTCCATCCTGGAATTCTTAATAGTCAACCATTTGCTTCCTCGTCTGCTTCATTACATCTGTCAGGATACTCACAATTCTAGCCATGCTAAGCTGGAGTCCAAACACCAGGTTTAATTCTTTGCCTTTAAACCAACTCACAGCATAGGTGTTCTGGGCAACTGCTAAGGACTCCCCACCAATTCTAAAAATGAGAAAAAGAAAATATCATAGCTTTTAAATAAACACCATGGTTTAAATATACCACAGTATACCATAGAACAACAGAAACCATGGAGGGAGACAGTGGTTAGCATAGATATGAAAAGAATAACAACATAATTTATCAAGGGGTTATGAGGATGGGGGGTAGGGGGAAAAAAGAGGAGCTGATACCAAGGGCTCAAGAGCAAGTAAATGTTTAGAAAATGATGATGGCAACATATGCACAAATATGCTTGACACAACTGATGTATGGATTGTTATAAGAGTTGTAAGAGCCCCAATAAAATGACCTTTTAATTAAAAAATAATAATAAATACCATAGTTAGGCAACAAACCCCTTGCCATCAAGTCAGTTCCGATCACAGTTTCACAGTGGCCCTCGAGAACAGATCGAAAGTACTCCAAGGCTGAATGTCTGTCTGTACAGAAGACAGACTGCCACAGCTTTTTCTTGGGGAGCGGCTGCTAGCACAATGTTCAGTTCGTAGCCGAGTCTTTTAACCATTGCACCACCAGATTCCACAAGTAACGCAACAGGTTTAAACATGGTCCCCCAATTCTTTTGGCAGTCCTCCTATCAAGGGGTGGGTTCTATGTCCCCTCCGCTTAAAACGAGATGGGCTTATATGCTGGGAGGGATTCCCTAAGTCATAAAATGCCATATTGCATTTGTACCTCTTCTCACCAACACTTATATAGACTCCCTGTGAGACATTTCTGTTGACAAGACACATGGAGCTATGCTAGAGTCCTGGAGCTGCAAGAGCCATGTGGAGATACACAAGACTTTCCACCCACTGGCCTGTGATCTTCCTGCAATCGGCGTCACTGCATGTGTTTCGTGAGTCTGAAGAGGACTGTGTAGATTGATATTGGACATATGGGCTAATATCAGACTTATGGACTTGATCTTGACTGGGCTGGGATGTTTTCTCAATATTCAATTGCTCTTGTATATTAAGCTCTTTCTTATACACATATGAGTGTCTAGGAATTTGTTTCTCTAGTCTACCAGAACTAACACATTATGGTTGAGCCAACGTGTAAGAGGTCCAACCAGGCCATGAGCATCCGACATGCTATGAGAGGGCCACGCCCAAGCTTAGGTGCTCCACTTAGCTGTGCTCATCTTCCAATCACCCAGGCCTGGGTCCCAGACATCTGAGTCAATAAGCCGTCAGGTAATGCCACCACCCCCGCCTACAATGAGTCTTTCCCGCTGAGACCCACAAACAAGAGCTCACAAACAAGCATTGTGTGTACCCTGTCCAAATGGAAGACGCACAAAAGCCCATGAGCCTAACACACGGTCATTTTATAAAAAGATTTGGGGTAACATGATACGCCATAATAGGAAGTGTCATGGCAATCCCAGGCGCTCCACAGGGTCTTCAAGGCCATGACCCTTCTGAGGCACATCACTGAGCCTTTCATCCAATGGGCCTCTGGGTTCAAAGGATCAACCTTTCTGTTAGCAAGCCAGCCCTTAAGTGTTTGCACCACCGGGTCGCCAGAGTTGGAACTGACTCAATAGCAATGGGAGGTGGTCATAACAGTAATTGCTAACAGCCCACAGAGAGAGTCTGGCTCGCTACATTACCATCAAATACTGATGTGGGGATAGTGGGCCACACTTTGTGCAAACACACACAGTTACACTTTCCCAGATTAGTGCACAAATTCTCCCATCAGTCAATCCTGCAATTCTCCTTCCACACGCCACGTTCTTACCACTTGGACTTTCACTTGACTTCAGGTGTTTTCACACTTCCCCCTTCAAACCTTCGGTCAGGATCTTCCCCTCCTCTGTATCCTCATACTGAACCCCTCTTCACCAGGAGCTAAAATACTCCCCACTCTTCTACTAACCTGAATTCTATACTTCGATCAGGGCTACACACTTCTTTCTCTGAATCCCATTCAAATGTCTGCATATAAAAATCTACAGGCTCAGAAACCCACCGGGGCAGTTCTAGCTACTCTATGGAGTAGTCAGGAGTCTGAATCAACTCAATGGCAGTGAGTTTGACAGTTTTGAGCGTTTTCTTTTTTTCTTTTTCTCTACCTTAGAGCACTTGGGGTATACCATACATGTCCATTTGCCCCTGGCACCTGTGGGAAGTGTAAATATGCTATGTTAAAAGCTTGAACTAGCTATGTGCTTTACTTCCTTTAAAACCGTAAGCCCAGGCTGGCCTCAGAATGTACTGACTAAACAGACGCTGATGTTCACGAAGCGCCATCCGTCTGTGGGCACTTTGCTCAAAAGGCTTCTGCAGGGGGTCTCCACTACACTTGCACATCACTCACCAAAGTGCCCATGAATTCCCAAGCTTCAGAACTTGAAAACCGATGGTCCACACATTTTTAAATGAGGTTTAAATCATAGTCTTCAATATAACACCACAAGCAAAAACGTCTTGGAAAAATACTACCTTTCTAGAGATTTATTTAATATTCAAACTCTACACAGATTAACTATGACCACTTAAAAGCTTTGCTTTTTTTCCCTGCTTAAATTTTTGCTTATTCTAAAGGAAAATCAAGATAAGCAACTAAGAAATATGAAAATTTTAGACTTACATAGATGTGACTACATAGAAAAGATTTTAAGTTATTCTCCAGAAGAAACCAGAGCATTTTTTTAAATCCTTAATGTATTAATAGATTAACTGTAATAAAATGTTAGGATATGTAAAATGATGTGCAACTTACCCAAATATAAACCTTCCAAATTGCATCAACCAAAAAGCATTGAATATTCCACCCAGTGCAAAAACAACCTAAAATGCAGAATTCTGCTATCAATGAAAAAGTAAATTCAAGGTCTTAAAGAGACACAATAATAAATAACTCATGATGAATCACAGCCTCTACACTGACATTAATATTCCTCCTTAGTGAGTCTATGAAATTAAAATGTTTAAAACAGAACTATACACTGTACCCCGTGGCCATTTGGGGACCCTACTTAGGTATTCATTAAATTTATCTTGCTGGCAGAATTAGGCAGAATTCAAAACCAGGGACACCCTGAACACATTGTTCTTCCTTACCTGTCCAATGCACACGATGCAGCTAAAAATAATGGTGCCCCATCTGTTAGAGACAAAGACAGAGAGAGAGAGGATAGGTACGCATGAAAAACACATGCCTGTTAATTACCAACTACTATAATAATAGGCAGGAGAAAGAAGAGGCTTTCTCTTTCTAAAGAGTTACAGCCTTGCAGGGGCAGTTTGACTCTGTCCCACAGGGTCTCTGTGAGCCGGCATAGACTGGAGGGCAGTGAGCTAGGGTAGGTTCTAGTAATGTTGACTTTGACTTTTTTTTTTGTCCTCTGCACTCCTTCAAGGAAAAGACAATGGAAGTGCTGATCTGCTTCTGATAGCAGCAACTTCCCTAGGCTGGATGTGGATCTGCAGAAGTGAAAACGTACTGTGGAATTCCAGGCTCAATGACAAAGTCACCTGTTACATTTTCTTAGACAAGATGTATTAAACAACACTTAAGAAGCTTCCAGGAGCAAAGCTGTAAGATATGGACATTCTTAATAAAGTTCTTATTCATAATTTTAGGTTGAGACTGACAATTCTACATTAAGTTCTTTTAAGTGGTTAAAATACCATTAGGTTATTTTATGATTCTTGATCATGAAAAACTACTATAAAAGAATAAATCATCAAATTACAAATATGCTTACTCTAACATTCTACAACCCATATCTGCCTAATGTTGTTCCTATAAACATTGTTCCCCAAAGTGAAAGGTTCCACTGGGGTATGGAGGGTAGGGCATAGAACTACCCAGGGAGGGGCTGCAAAAGCAAATACCTACACTTTATTCAGGATTATGAGCTATAGTGAGCTGAGTAATTTTTTTTTTCCTGAAAAAGGAGCAGTAAGCCAAATACATTTGGGAACCTTTATCTTTAAATAGTAAAATGCTTGCATTATAAGAGTTCTTAAATATCATCTGAGTAACCCACATTCTGGAGCTAAAATCCCCTCTCAAAATCTTTGTGAGAAGGGCATATCACCTACTGAAAGTTCTTCAGCACTGAAAAACTCCCTGCATTCCCCGGGAATACATGTCAGCCTGACCTAGCAATGTCTTCACCAGACTGAGTGGAATCCGTCCCCCCAAAGTTTCCCACTATTTCTATACCTGGGACCAAGAAAAAAAGAAAATGAATTCTTCCTTCATACTCTAACTTTTCAGAACACTTTCAAATTAGTCTCCAAGTCTACACACTTAAAATGTCTTCAACCCAGAAAGCTGATGGTGCCCGGCTATCAAAAAGTATAGCGTCTGGG